TGTACAAAAAAAAAAAAAAAAAAAAAAAAAAAAAAATTATATATATATATACACATTAATAAAAACTACTTAAAAATTAACTAATTTAATTAAATCAAATAATCAAAAAGAATATATTAAAACGTAATAAAAATTAAAATATCAATGGCAATATCAATAATTGTGATACTATTGGTATTGATTGCACTTGATATTAAATATATAATGTATTAAGATATATTTATATAAAATTATAATTTTGTGCATTATAGTAATACACTATTTTATAGTAATGAACACTCCTCAGAATACCTTATTTTATTTTTTGCTTGTTGCCAAGGCAACATTTCTAATTTTCATTTAGTTTAACTTGTAATATACTTGTAAAACAAAAATGGAACTAAAAACTAAATATAAATATTAAAAAAATGAATAAATAATAATAATAAAATGACAAAAACGCAACAAAATTTCAAAGTATTAATAAAACTCAAAATAATAATAAAAAAAATAAATAAATAAAACTCTTGACACTAATTGTGATATTGTTTGACTGCACTTTAAATTGAATCATATTTTTTGAAAATATATAATGCTTTATATAAAATGATAATTCTGTGCATTACTGTAATGAAAAATAATGCTCATAAAACATCCTTCATTTACTTTTTGCTAAATTTCATAGTTTTGATTATGGGGAAAAAAAAGAAAAGAAAAAAAAGAGTTCTTGATTATTTTAACTTTAAAGTCTTTTCTGCATCTATACCTCTTTAAATCAACTGTATGCAGAATGCAAGAGTTAAATCACTCAAAAATGAACATTTTCATCATTTCTATGGTGATTCTGACAGCCTCTGGGGTCTTGAGAAAGAGCAGTGTGAACAGTCTTCAGAATATCTTCTTTTGCATTCCACAGATGACATGAAGACAGGTTTGAAATAACACACAAATATGAGAAGCAGAACAACACCTGCGTTATCAATGAGAGAGCGCTTGAAAGAGCCGTCTGACGCCCAGACTTTTAAAGTCTTTTCTGCATCTATACCTCTTTAAATCAACTGTATGCAGAATGCAAGAGTTAAATCACTCAAAAATGAACATTTTCATAATTTCTATGGTGATTCTGACAGCCTCTGGGGTCTTGAGAAAGAGCAGTGTGAACAGTCTTCAGAATATCTTCTTTTGCATTCCACAGATGACATGAAGACAGATTTGAAATAACACACAAATATGAGAAGCAGAACAACACCTGCGTTATCAATGAGAGAGCGCTTGAAAGAGCCGTCTGACGCCCAGACTTCAGCCCACCTGTGGGCCGCAGGAAATGTGTTTCTAGGGCAACCGGGAGATAACCAACAAGGCCACTACAAACACTGTGTGTGTGTGGGTGGGTGCTCTACAGGGAGTGATAATGGACGTGGGCGGCTGCGTGGGTGGGGGAAGAGCGGGGCCGTGTTGCCATGGTTACATACCATCGTGGTGGTGAAGCGGTTGCTGTAGGCGGTTATGACTCCACACTTACTGCCTGTAAACAGCTGACAACTGTCCGGCACCCAAGCACAACTAGTCACCTGAGGAGAGAGCAGAGATTACATTTACATTTAGTCATTTAGCAGGCGCTTTTATCCAAAGAGATCCAGAGATCCAGATGATAAGAATAGAAGCAATCAAAAGCAACAAAAGAGCAACAATATGCAAGTGCTATGAAAAGTCTCGGTTACAGTACATGTATAAAGGGTTTTATTTTATATATATATATATATATCAAAAGAAAACAAATAGATAAAAAAGGCCTCTAACACTAGCTTTCTCTATTCTAAGAAAACAAGCGGTTAGAAAACGAACAGAGAGAGCAAGTGTTAGAAGGTCAAGTCAACAAATAGATAAATTAGAATTAGAATAGAGTAAGAGGGTCAAATAAAGATGGAAGAGATGTGTTTTTAGTAAATTCTTGAAGATGTTTAAGGACTCATATGGGGTCATATGATGCGATTTCATTTTTTCCTTTCTCTTTGGAGTGTTACAAGCTCTTGGTGCATAAAGAAGATCTGTAAAGTTGCAAAGACTAAAGTCTCAA